TGGTTATAACGACTCACATAATTAATTTAATCTAAAACCATTCGAGTAATCAAGGAAGAGTAATCAAGATCATTCACTGTGGCGGTATAGCAATTTGAAAAACAATTATATTTTATGTTATCGGAAAAATCGGGTTTTTCGAGGAAATCAACACCACTCGCTTGTATTTATCTATAACTATAATACAAAAACTCCCTTTTATACACGTTTTGAAATCACTCATGCATCAACTTCTGGATCATCACAATTTAGTAAACAATTGTCTTTTCAGAAAATATCGGATTTTCTAGGTTTTATAAACTACACAAATCATTTTTAACACAACCTTGCTTATGAACTCACCAACATTTCATATGTTGACCATTTTCAACATAACTTGTATTCTCAGGTAACAGGTAAGCTAACGGGTAATATCAAGTATTTTAGGATGTTACGTTCTGAAAACTCTCAAACAATTTATGTTATGGATGTGTAATATTTAAAACAATGTACTGGACGTGAACAATATCAGTTGTAATGTATTGATGCATGGTGATGTTTATGTTATGATTCATGTATATTCATTGTGATGAAATTCAATTTCAGTCATGCGAACCCTCAGACGTTTCCGCCGTCTGGTTTCGGGGGTGTGACATAAAACTAGTTTTATTTTGTTCAAATATTAATTCTTCTATTGCTATGTTTATGTTTTTGAAACAACTTATTGAATAAAAACCCAACTACATACAGTAAAAAAAAGGCTTTGTCACTAAAGTTTCTTAGAATGTGGATGGGTACTAGTCATCGGATGATGAGGGTGATGAAAACCCTGGTAAAACATTTTTTTATGGACAGATAAAGAGTTGAGTGTAATGAATGCTACTGGTTGTCTGGATCAGAAAAATATAATGAGGATGCTGACCCTAACTATTGCTACATGGCAACTAACGAATCACTACTCGGAAGCATCATCCAACAGGTAAGATCTATGATTATTGAAAATTATTTTGAATTATCTTTTTGTGAACCTTATCTAACTCAAATAGAGTAAGCTATCATTGTTATCATTAAAGCCTATGAGTCTACCATAAATGTCAGTGAGAAGCTAGACATCGAATTAACCTAACTTAGTTTATGTTTTGAAGATCATCAGCTTAAGATAGAGTCCTTATAAATAGAACTTGTAATAGCTAAGGATGAACGTATTGTATTGAATGACAAATGTGAAATATCAGTTAGTCAAAGAAGTCTTTTGGTTAATAATGATATGTGTCTTAATGCTAAGATTAATAGTTTGTATAATTTCATTGATATGATCGAATCACTCACAAAATTTCTTCATCCTTGGTAGAAATCACCTGGTCTTGGAAGCGAGTTTTTGAAACCTGGTTCTAGTCTTCTAAAGGAACATTAAAATCTAACCTTTATGGGAGATATTCCAAACCACACCTATTCTAATACTCTTGTCTCACCACTGTCGTCCCTTCAAGAGACTTCAAAAAGATATCAATCCTTGATTCCTAAGTTCAAACCAATCACTGTCACATGTCTTGATTCCATGCAACTTCCACCTCTAATATCCCTAAACCTAAATCAGTCTCTGAAAATTCGATGTGGCATAGGGGGATCTAGAGTTTAACTTTCCAACTCTGGTCCTCCAAATAATTGTGTTATTAAGAAATTTTTTCCTGAGATATCCGGCCATGACTTGGAAAACCTAATGAAAATGCTAACTCATTTTGGGTGTCTCTTGATAGTGATATTAATGAAGAAATTAAATTTGATCACGACTTATTGTCTGATTCCTTTGTCCCTAACTCAAAAGTTATTTCTTTGTCTACGTTAGTTCCAATTAAACCATGTTACGACAATCCATCTATCAGACAATCTTCTAAGTCAATAACTTACTCCATGAAGAAGCCATGGTTGAACAAGAAGGATATTGTTCAGCTGAAGGAATAGGCCAAAAGAGTTCTAGAAAAAGAAAGTAGTTCTAGAAAGTGATTTGAGTTCCTTTTACTTTCCCATTAATCCAATCATGAAGTGCCTCAAAAAGTTATCAATCCATCTACGAGGAATCATAATACCTTTGCTCCTGTTAAGATTCTTAAAAGACCATCCATTCCTGTTAGCTCGGATAATCATGTCACTTAAACTACAAACAAAGTAAAATTTGTTAATGTTGAGACCCCACCAGTGAAAAGAAATTATTTTCAAAAAGTGTCTTCTATAGTACTCACTTCTACCTAGAAAGAAAATATTTTCAAACAAACACATATCTCTGAATCAAATGCGCAGAAGAGAATAATGAGTAAGAGAAAGGATACTTAGAACTCTCATGGAATAAAGTCTTCAAAAAGTCCAACTCCGAAGTATGAGTAGAAAGTTACGGGGAAAGACATTCCAGTTGAATCTCGGAAACTAGTTCTTCCAAAAACACTTTGGAAAACTATTGTTCTAAAGTAAAATCCACCACAAGTGGAATATGATTTTTGGATTGTTGAAAGTTCTTTGACATTCTATATCTTCCTAAAAGTATCTCGGAAAGAAATATATGATACTTAGCTATTCATAAATTCAAAACCAAGTCTAAAGCCCATGCGATAGTGCCTCGTTCTAACTCGGAGCCTAAAAACTCCAAAACTCATTGATTTTACAAGCTTTATGTGATTCCGAAAAAGATACAATATGGTATATTGATAGTTCTTGTTCGATGGACATGACTGGGCAGAAGCAATTTCTTTGTGACCTCAAGTTAACTCCAAAAGTTGTTTATGTTATGTACGAAAACAACACGAATTCTCAGGTTCAAGGTTATCGCATCCTAACCAATGGAAATTTCTCTGTCTCGAATGTGGCTGATCTCAAGAACAAATGAATCATTGTGGCCCAACTTACTGACACAAATCGGCGAGTTGAGTTCTACAAAATGCACAACTATGCGATGATAGAATATCAGAAAGAATGTCTCATCGAGTCATATCGGAACAAATATATATATATATATATATATATATATATATTCCTTTTGATATTAACATGATTATCGAAAAGCCTCATATATGTAGTCTCACAAAGGTAATTCATGATCTTAGTTGGTTATGGCATCAGTAACTTCCTCATCTAAATTTCTGATACATGAATGATCTGATCTCTAGAGAAATGGTCTGAGGATTGGCACTCCTCAAGTTTGAAAATGATCATCTCTATGTTGCATGTGAGTGTGGGAAGCAATCTAAGAAAGGTCATCTAGTTCTGATTGAAAAATCTATTTTCAAACCACTAGAATTCCTTCATATCGATTTATTTGGTCCATTTGTCATTCAAAGTTTACACCACAAGAAGTACATCCTAGTGATTTTTTATGACTACACAAGGTTTACTTGGGTTTTCTATTTGAGATTGAAGACGGAAGCTGCTTCCGAGCTCATTAATTTCATTAAGGGGAACGAAGTTCTAACAAAGTTGCGCATCCAAAGAGTTCATAGTAACAATGGAGAAGGGTTCACAAATTTCACTCTTAAAGCATTGATGGATAACAAAGACATCGAACAAAACTTTTCTACTCCCTACACTCCTCAATAAAACGGTGTTGGTTAAATAAGAAATCCAACTTTAGTTGAAGACACTCGATCGATGTTGAATTTACCAATCTTCCTCTTTACCTTTTGGGTTGAAGCAGTCTCAATCACCTTCTTTACTCTAAATAGAAGTATCATTAACCAACAAATCAACATGACACCATATGAAGCCATGAATGGTCAGAAACCTAGTATCTCATTTATTAACATCTTCAAATGTAGATGTTTCATCAAGAAAAATCATGATCAGCTCACCAAGTTTCAACGAAAAGCTGATGCAGCTATCTTTTTGGGATAGTCTGCTAAATCAAAGGCTTATTAGGTTCTCATCGAACCCTTGTGATTGAAGAGAGATTTGATATTACCTTTGCTGACAAGTTTATTCAAAACTTAGAGTTAACCCATGTTACAACTCACATTTTTTATAAAGTTGATGTTGACTGTTTATTTAGATCACTAGAAACAACTCTTGACTTAGAATCTCAATCAATACCCTCTTCAGTTCAAAATCCATGTGTTTCTCAACCCATCTCTTGTCCAACTCTAACTTTTCCTTCGTTTGATACTGAAATTTTCCCATGTCGGTTTGAGGGTGAGAATACCTCCACTTTCATGCCTCAATGGCAAGAAAGTAATCCAAGCCTCGAATCAAATGTTGATGGTTTTCAAGATCCGTCATATCAGTTTGTATAAATTGATCCAAATTTGAAGAACGAAGATGATACAAATTTCTTTAACATTCCGAATGATGATGAAGATATATCTGGTTTAAAATTTCACGAGGAGAATCATCCTCAAATTCAAACTATTCATGGGGAGTAACACAACCCTATCATTGATCTCGGGTCTTTTGCCGCATAAGAACTACCAAGACTGCATGTCTAGACAAATGTTCATCCTCCTAACCAAGTAATCAGAAATTTGAATGCCAGAGTTCAAAATCAATCTACTGCCAATGTTCAAAATGAATTCACTTATATGCCTTTATTTTAATGGTTAAACAAAATCCATCAAAGTAGCTCTAGAACACTTCGATTGGAGTACATCCATGCAATAAGAGCTAGACAAGTTTGATAGAGATCATGTTCGGACTCTTGTCCCTCCTCCTCCGGATAACCCAATTTTCAAAACTCGTTGGGTCTTCCAAAACAAGCTCGACGATGTAGTAGTCATTACCTGAAAAAAGTGATATTGCTTGCAAAGGATTCACTCAAATTGAGAGTCTATATTACGATGAGACAATTGAACCTATCGCTCATCTTGAAGCCATTCGAATATTTCTTGCGTATGCATCTCAAAAGGACTTCAAATTTTACCAGATGGATGTCAAATGTGCCTTCCTCAACAGTGAACTCGATAGTGAAGTATATCTCCAATAGCCTCTTGGGTTTTTCAATTTAGCCTATCTGAACTACTTCTAGAAAATCCAAAAAGTTGTGTATGGCTTTAAGCAAGCTCTTTGCGCCTGGTATGGGACTCTCACCTATTCTTTTTAAGCTTTTTGATTTTCATCGTGGAGTGCTTGATCCTACCCTTTTCCAAAGAACCAATGGGAAGCATCTCATGTTGGTCCAGATATATGTTGGTGATATCATCTTTGGGTCAATTGATCCGATGATGGTGGCTGATTTTTCCAAGTTGATGGTTAGTCGATTCCAAAGGATCATGAATCATGAATTGAGCTTCTTCCTTGGATTGCAAGTCAAACAAACAAATTGGGGAATCTTTATTCATCAAGAGAAATACATTCCAAACTTTTGAAGAAATATTCAATGGATTCTTGTGCCTCTATAAAAGTCCCGATGGGTTTTGGGCACAAGATTTACTCGGACCCATCTGGTGAAATCCTTGATAAGTAGAATTTTAGAGGGAGTATCAGATCGCTACTTTACCTCACTACCATTCACCCATAGAGCATATCCTTGCCATGCCTTTGTGCTAGATTCCAGGCTAATCCAAAAATGCCTCATCTTTTAGCCATAAATAAAAAAATTGGTATCTTAAAGGAACTAAGAACCTCAGAACTTGGTACCCTGAAAACGAATGATTTTTTTTGCTAGCTTATTTGGATTTAAATTACGATGATCTACAACTTGTGCAAACTACATAGCTCTTTCAACAAATGAAGTGGAATACATTGCTACTACAAGCTGCACCTCTTAAGTTTTCTGGATGAAATCTTAGTTTCTAGACTATGGTTTCCAATTTCAATAGATTCTGATCTACTTCAAATCATAGAGTACCACCGTGATTTCTTACAATCCGATCCAACACTCCATGACCACGCACATTGATATTCAGTACCCTTTTATTAAAGACCGTGATTTAAATGGTAACATTGAACTCATTTTTGTTCCTACTAATGATGAGATCGTTGAGTTCTTTACCAAGGGATTAGACGAGACCAAATTCATTACCTTTCTGAACAAAATGGGAATGATGCTACCTAATCCACAATTCTTCTAAGAAATTTATACTCTCCGATGGCAACATTGGATAGCCGAATAATTCCAAGTTAAACCTTTTCTTCATAAATATTTCTTTTGGGAAAAGAAAAGGTCATTATATGTCTTTTTATGCCTTTCATCTAGTCTTGAGCTCTTTCAGGTTGTCATGGTCATTGACAAGAAAATCATTCCGAATTCCTCGTCTCAATGAATTTGAGAAAGTTTTTGATTGTTAGATCCGAAATTTCACATTCCGACCAATTCGATATAAACAAATCTCGAAATTCAAGTCAAAATGGTAATGTGATTTAGTTTATGTCTCTTTCTGAGCTCTATTCCTTTAGCTCTCAGAATTTGTCAAGTCTCTTTGCAAGTTTAAGACCTCTAAGATTTTCCACATAAGTTATGCCTTTGATATTCATTCAAGAGATTGTGCCATTTCTTGGATCAATATCAAGCATTGGTGAATGTTTTTGTTTCTTGGAACTATGTTGTGCCTATTTGTTTTTCGGAATCTCTTGAACCTGTTCTTATCGTATGAATAAAAAAATAATTTTTCCTTTCTGATCTTTAAGATTTTCATTTAATATTGTATTATTGTAATACCCACTTTTAACGATTATATGTTTATCTTTAAGGTCCCAATAAACATGCTTGTTGGCACAAATAATGAGGATCGGATGCGTGTTTTCAGAGTTGAATCATTCTACTTCCTCCAAACCACAAATTAATATTGACTTTCATTCATCTTTAGAGTAGGTGGATTTTGGATATGGTAATGATGATGCAAACAAAGGCGGTGGTGATGAAAAAGTACTTGTTTCCAAGGAAGACGAAGAGCAGTTCGAAAGTGAATCCAATTTGGAAAGTGGCTCTTCCGATGAGATAGCACATCCTTATGCTTTGATTGAAATGCAATAGAAAATCACCAAAGTTAATTCTAAAGTACATAACATCAACACTCAGGTGATAGAACTTGATTCTAAATTAGATTTGGTTCTCAAATCTCTTTCTGAAATCAAGTCTGCTGCTCCATTACAAGAGGAAAGCGAGTAGCATGTGGATCAACAAATTTCCCTATGACTGAAACACATTCTTAAGGAATCTAACCATCAATACTCGGAAAATCTGGATACTCATGTTGAAATGATGAACAAAATTCTCAAAGTTCATGATAACTTGGTGAAAGCTACAAACGAACTCATTAAGCAGACACATGTGCTTCATGAAAAAACAAATTTAATGAATTGAAAAGTAGATCCGAGTGAATGATGGAATGAATCTAGTCATGCAAAAATTGTTAATCAAGTTGATTCGGTCTGCTTATCACTTTGTGGACATTCTGAATTAGAAGTTCGATGAAGTCCTTCTAGTCATGGAAGAACCCTCGACACTCTCAAGGATCAGACTTTGACTATTGATGCCTATAATAAGCTCCCCAAATAGATCAATCTAATATTCCAACAGGCGTTAGTTATGATCGGTGATTTGAAGTCTAATGTGTTGCTTACATCGAAAGCAGGGACTTCCCATGAAAAGGGGGGGGGGGGGAGAAATAATGATAGCATGGAAACCAAGCTCGAAATTCAAGCTCCAAGATGAATCGACTAATGAAGAAGAAGATGAGTTAATTGTTACTAGTGAAAGGAGAGAAGTTCAAGAAGAAGAAACTGATGATGATAGGTAAATTGTGAAAGTGGTGCAATGTATTAATTCGGAAAGACAACAACCTTCAGTCAGAAGAATCCTTTCCAATAAAGAGATGAAAATATGGTCCTCTAGTGCATGACCATCTAATCTTTCCAATTAATTTAAAAGAAGTATGGAAATGGCCACGTAAAAAACAAAGTTGAATGTTGATGCTTTTTGAGGTACCCAACAAAAGCTTCATTTGATTCCCTTTCTGAGAATCATGGAAATTGATCAGGATTCCCCGACTAGAAAAGATGACAGTCTCCCGTCATCTGAATTGGTCCTACCAATTTCTCAGGTATTTGTGACTCTTTCTACTCAACCATTCATCCAAGACATGCCCGATGAAGTTGTCGAAAAAGTCTAAGGGTTGGCCACAAAATCAGATCAACCAAGAAATTGAAGAGAACCTCAGATTACAAGATCAAAAGGGTTCTCCTAACCCTTTCCTTGGAATTTCTCCATTTTGTCCCGATGGGATACTACATGAACATCACATGATACCCTGTATGAGATATGATCTTCCTATCTCGGATGTTGTTCAACTTGACTTGCTTAAATCTCTATATGTAAGATTCTACACCAAGTTCCCTCCACTCCATCCGAATGATGATATGGAGACTATCATCCGAACAAAATGTGTATGCCTAAACACCTTTTACACCACCAATTCCCTTTTAAAAAAACAAGTGTGGTTGAAAAAGCGAATAACTCAATTTAATGGCTAGGGAATGAGAGTGTTAAACAATTTTGGACAAAACTTCCTCCTCCACAACTACTATAACTATCAAAACTCTCAGAAAAAAGCTTACAATCTCAGATGTTGATTTCACAACCATCAATCTAAATGATGTGTGTAACTCCCTGTTTCAGATCATTTCCCATTTCAGGGTGGTGATCAAGTATTGGGTATTAATAGACTTAGGACCCTTGAAGAATTGAGATATAGACTCACTTGAAGGTGGATGATGTAAATTTGAGGATCTAGGTATTCAGTTTATGTTTTTGGGCCAAAGGGTATTTCAGTATTATGTCAGCTCAGGCTTTTATGGAATTTGGATGTTTGTTTGGGAAATTGTAGTGATTTTCTCGTTTCCTTTTAATGGATATAAGCATCACCGGAATCAGATTTATAATGAGGAATTTACGGCCTTCAGAGTGATTTAGGGTTTAAGAGGAAACCCTAGTACATGGGGAGTACACAGGGTGTACTGGTGTGAAGGCTGGTATGCGAGGTGTAATGTGGTGTACGCTTAGTCTACTACGAAGGAAGGATCAGGGGTGCAAGTCCTCGTACGCTAGGAGTACGAGGAGTATGTGGGGCGTACAAGGTGTAAGTTAAAACCCTAATTTAAGATTTTGTACCCTATATAAGCAACTTAAGTCTTTAGGGATAGCCTCTTTACCAAACTCCAAGTCCCGAAAACCCTAGAAATCATCCCTTAGCCTCCATGGTGGTGTTTTTGAGCTCATTATGTGCATCTTCGTGTGTTTGGTTCATATTCAAGAAGATGGAGTTTGGTGCAAGGTTATGGATCACGGAAAAGCTTCTGGATCCTGATTCTCTACTTCATTTATAGGTTCTTTGAGGTAAAACCCTATGAACTTATTCATTAATTGCATAGATCTATTATATATGAGTTATGGTTCCTTATTGGCCCCAATCATGATATCTAGCGGTTTGATACCACTCCAAAGCTATGAGTTCCCACTCCTGGCGTTTCTAAGGTTCTAAATTCATAAAGTTGTCTCCTTTAGGGTTTGGAATACCCCATGCATTAGATTGTGTCCACTTGGCGAAATTATAATGATATATCATGAAGTTGGGTTCTTTTGGGGCATGCAAAGTCACCAAGTCAGTAACTTTATGGTTCTAGACGTGTATCAAGAAGTAGATAAATGGTTTGGGCTTCTTGTCTTAAGAACTAATTGTTGAAGGAAGGATTTGGCTATTTGGATGAATATGTTAGGTGTACAAGTCTGTACGCACAACGTATAAGCCATTTAGCCTATACACTTAGTGTACAACTGAGTACACCCCACATACTCAAGAGGATTGAATTTCGATATTGGGCTTCGGTTTAGGCGATCTTTTGGGCTTGGTTGTCTTGGGCACTGTTGGGACATCAGGTTTTGGGCTGAAAAATATTTGTGAAGGACTATAATGGGATTTGGGCCCAATTTGGAAATTAGGCCATGAATTGGACATTGGATGGCTAATTTTGTATATGGGCCTCTTGGATTATTAGGTTTGGGCTTAATTGGACCTTGGATGGCTAATTTGGTATATGGAGTAAATTAGTCACTTACCCTAGTAATAGTCTAATGGTTTGGATGGGAATCCAATTATTAATTCAATCTTATTTGATATTTATAGTTTGGGGATCTATCAGCCAGCAACTACGGGTTATATGTGTGATTCGGTAGTGCGAGGTGAGTTTCCTCATTGGATTTAGTGGGCCGAAGGCGCTAATTCTGGCACATAGTTTATATTTTAGGATGCTAGATGTTCGTATGACTCTTGCATGTGTTATTGATGGTATGTTTACCGGTTAATTCCTGATGTCAGGCGGGGCCAGATGAGTATATTGTATGCTAGTTATCAATATGTGTTTTATGCTTATCGGGAGAGGCATGATGTTGGGTAGGGCTCGATGACTATATGGTATGTTATAGTCTTTGTGATTATTGCATGTTCTATTAAGGTTATATGTTTATATGTTTATATGGTTTTATGATTATGTGTGTATTAGGTGGGGCCCAATGTCAGGTGGAGCCTAGTGATTAGCAGATCTTTAATCCGAGTGAGGCTCGATGTCGGGTGGGGCCCGAGGCCAAGTGGGACTCGAGATCGGGTGACGCCTGATGGAGGGAGGGGGCCTAGTATATGATTTATGTATGTGTGGTATGTGGTATCGTGAGGAACTCACTAAGATTTGTGCTTACGGTTTTCAGTTTATGTTTCACTAAGATTTGTAGAGTACACACCATATGTTTCAGCATTATGCGATTTACTCTGATTTGATGATGTTTTTATAAATCTTGATGGCCTTGGTTTTGTGGAAATGATATGTATTAACAAATTATTAATCTAAAAATGAAATTTTTATGTTGTTATTATTGGGACGTTACAAATTGGTATCAGAGGCTTGGTTTGAGGGATGCAGACACACTCGCTGGTGTTTCTGAACTCAAACGGAGGCTTTTCTGAACTTTTTAAAAAACGAAAGAAAAATGATTTAGAAAATGAAAAAAAAAAATTCTAATACAAAAAAGGGCATGGTGCATGCAATCGGCTAAGCTTAAGTAATTTTCTCCCAAAATACCCATACATGTTACCTGGTATGATTTGATTTATAAATTTGTGAATCATATGCTAGTTAGGGCTAACGATATGCGCAGTTTTTTCATGATAGAATGCTAGGAGAGATGCCTTGTATGACTATTATATGGGTTTGTAGACTTGCATGCTGGGTCTGATTAGCCAGTGATAGGTGGGCCTGATATGTGATGCCTTATAGCCTAGGAAGCATGGAATACTAGATTGGGTACAGATTGTATGTGTAAGGCAATTAGTAGCAGGAGTGGGAGCTCCTAGTATGAGTTGTAGTGTGTGGGATTGGATGCTCGTGATTATTCTATAGATTGGAGCTCTACTACAAGAATACTGCTTGCTTTGTGCTTTGTGGAACTCTTAGGTAATGAGAGTTAGCTACTAAGTGAGTATGTCAAGTCATATGTGACAAAGGTTAAATATTATCAATGTAATGGATTTGAACCTATTGCACAACTATTGTTTGATTCCAACCATTGTAGGGATGAGTCTGATACACGAAGTATTATCTAAGCTTTGTTGCATGTGATTCTATTCATGAGGTGGGTGACTGGAATTATGGGGAGTTCCTCAGCAACTGATGGCAGGGTAAAAAGCCCAGGGATTGATTCCATGGGTTTTGTTGCATTGGGTAGCGAGTGTTTAGTGTATGGATTTAAGTGGGTGACTTAGAGGATTCTGGAGGATTCTAGAGGAAAGTATGGATAGGTGTGGAAGGTAGTATTAGGCACGTACAACTGAAAGCACATGATACATACTCGGATCGGAGAGAGTTTTGGAGATTCTAAGAAGCTTGTGGGATGAGAATTCTTGTGTATATTTGGATCTTATGCATCCTATTTAATATTCGGTATTGAGCACTTAGGATTGGGGGTCAAGTTCTGGTTCTGGATCAGGTCCATGTACTGAACCGGTCAATGCATGGATGCGGGAGTTCATCTCATCGGAGATTAATCGCGGTATTTTGGAATGGACCTCAGTGATCTTTAGTTCAGTCAAGGAAGGAGGGTCATATTTTTACTTCTTGTCATTGGGATCGGAGGGGATTTTTCCACCATGTTCTGACGATGATCAAGATAATTCAGTAGGAGGAGGTTAGGATTCCTTTAGGTGCTTTTCCGGATATGTTATCTTATGTCTTCTTCTGTGTTGTTATCGGGAATTTGTATTGCTTTGGAATTTTTTCTTAGGTTTGACTAAGTTATATCTCAGGTTGATTTTCTGCTATTGTCTTAGTTATACTACCAAGGATTGTGATATGTCATTCTGCATGCCAAGAGTCTTCAATGAATCATTAGTAGGTCGTATCTTGTTGAGCGGGTTTCAGTGTGTTCAGTTGTTGTTTCGGGTCTTTTTCGGGATCAACTCAGGGGTATTGCTTGGAGGATCTTTGGTCAGGGTTAGCGGGTTAGTTCTCTAGTAAAGTCATGGTTTATTTTTTTTCTCTTTTGATCTGGTTGGATCGGCAGTCGTCTATGAAAGAACTTTTGGGGTTCAAACACTAAAGTTGCTAGGAGAGGAGCGGTAGCAGGAAGATCATGGTGTATGTTGCATGATTTGTTTGATCATTAGAAATGTCACAGGAGTTTTATATTCGCATTGGTTGTAGATGGTTAGAATTCAATGATTCCTTTAGAATGGAATTTGGGGTAAAGATTCATCAGCCAGGGAAAGGATTATGGTTTTTAGTCACCAGCATAAGAACTCAAGGAATTGGTTTGGTATTACGAGAGGTGATTGGATTATCAGACTGGTTAAGATTTCAAGAGTACTCTTTAGGACTTTAGGAGTTGGGCGATCATAGAGTTTGGCTAGTAATGGAATGCTAGTATTGATTAACGCAGGTTATATGCGGTTCATTCTATATGAGGTTAATGGGTTGGGAATCCATCGAATTTAAGAGATGAGAGAGCTTCGTCGAATTCAAGTGGGGGAGAATCGATAAGGATTTTCGGGAATTAGGAAGGGTGTGGACCTAGGGCAAGTTTCATATCCTGGCCAGGAGGAGAGAAGACCTAAGTGGCTGTTTAGATCGAGGTTGTGTAAGTGGTAGTTTAGGAAACTTTCATGTAACATCCATAAAATTCAGGAAAATGTAAAACTTTTTCAAGCATTCAAAAACCATTAATTATTACAAAATGTTTTCAAAATAGTTTCATATCATAGT